ACACACACACACACACACACACACACACATACACACACATATTTACTACATGTGTGGTATTATTCACAGTAGTTGTGTGTGAAAGGTAAATGGTTACAAGGCAAAATAAATATACTAGATATCAAATGTCATACAGCATATAGCAGTTCAAGATAGCATGGCATTGAAAAGGGCAAGGAGAGATGAGGGTAGAGAAGGTGAGTAAATGGGCAAAATAGGGATTAACCCATTGTCGCAGGGGAAAATGAACAAAAAATGGGGATAGTGTTGTGCCTATTTTCTATATTTTTTTGTGAAATGTTTGCCCATAGATAGCTCTGTTATTGCCTGATTTGAAATGGCGGGAAAAACGAATTTTTCACTAGTGTCATGAATATCGATGGTGTTATTTTTATTATAAACATTATAATTATTATTATGATTTTTAACATTAGTAACAGCAAAATAGGATAACGTAAAATATTTTGTAAATCAAAGAAAAGGGTGAACGGGCGAGACAGGCGGTACTCGTAACTGGCTCATTGGTGCTTTAGTACAAGTGTAGCCATCTATGTGTGAAAACAATCTAACAAGTAATGTTACAGTGGGCATTGCATGGCATGCACGGCGGGAATGGATTAACAAGGGTGATTAGACCAAAGTTGTCAAAGGAAGAAGTATGGGATTCTGCAAGGATTCTGTTAAGTGAGGTAGGGGTTTGCAAAAGGAAAAAGGGGGTTTAATTAGATTGTTTTCAGTATAAATGTCAGGAGGTAGAAAATCCAGCAAGGGGGATATTGTGACAAAAAATCACATTTGTATCTGGGGGGAAGCAGAGGGAATAATTGGGAAGGAAGGGAGGGTGTTAAGTAGGGGGAGTAGGGGGGAACATGCATAAAAGGATGGATGGTTAGGGGTACAGTAAAGGGCAGTACTGAAGTAGACTGAGAGAAAAACCTCATCTGTGTCCTTCCTGTTTGGCCTCACATAAAGAAGCCAATATGAAATCTGAAAATTACCATCTTAGACTTGTAAGGCAGCCCTAATAAAATACAGTATGGGAGTCACCACAACTGCCACATGTGCATGATTGTGCATAGCAGTTTGATTAACCCAATGCCGATGGGCATGATGTGTACATGTATGCCATGCTCCCTGTGAGATTACTTGTTGGATTGTTTTTACACATAGATGGCTACACTTGTACTTGGTCACCAATGAGCCAATTAAAAAAAATACATATTTCCCACTAATTCATGGAAAGGTGAAATCAGGTAAGATCACAAGGTCTACTAATTTACTCCTTTGTGACTAAGCACTAGCAGAGCCATCTAAGTGCAAAGATATTTCACAAAAATTATAAAAAATGAGCACAGCATTTACCCCATTTTGTATTCATTTTCCCCAGTAGCATTAGGTTATTCATTACCAGGTTGGGTGCATAGTGGGCTTTGAGCTGTGGAGTGGCAGTGTTTGGCAGGGTGGCCTAGATGCCAACAATTCTGAAACTGACAAGGGAAAGGTTGATGTGGTTGGACAAGAGGGACTCTCCACTAATATAAACATTAAGTGGAAGGTCATGTATATGGAAGGTAATCTTGGTAATATTAGTGGAGGACTTAACCCATTCACGGCGGGTGTCACATATACGTGACATGCCCACTGTGAGTTTACTTATTTAATTGTTTTTTCACATAGATGGCGACACGTACTTGTACTGCCTGTCTCGCCCGTTTACCCTTTTCTTTAATTTATGAAAATATTTTACGTTATCTTATTTTCTTGTTACTAATGTTTATAACATTATAGTAATTATAATGTTTATAATAAAAATAACCATCAATACTTATAGCACTAGTAAAAATACATTTTCCCGCCAATTCAAGTAAAGGTGAAATCAGGTAAGACAGAGCCATCTAGTGTAGAGACATTTCATTAAAAAATATAAAAAATGAGTACAGCATTTTCCCTGTTTTTTGTTCATTTTTACCCGGCGTGAATGGGTTAAGGCAGTCAGGTAGGTCTACTCCAAAATTTGACAACCCTTGTTGTAGACAGAGCAGTTTGTCCGGGAGACGGAGAGAGTTCCAATACAAACATTGAGGGAGGGGAAGACTGTGCCCATGACTGGCACAAAGTCAGCCTTTCATTCTTTCAACAAGGGTCTCACACCATGGGAAGTGGTTAGTAGAAGGGGTAAGGGAAGAGAGAAAAACTGAAAGGAGAAGAAAAGACAAAGCAAAATTGGTTGAGGTCAGGGTTGAGGCCCAAGGCAGGAGTGATCTTCAGCATTGGGTCCAGTCTCTGTCCCCTATGCCCCCCCCCCCCTCCCCTCCAAAAACAGGCATGGAACTGGGGGGCTAAAAGAAAGCTGTGTATTATACTGCAACATATTTTGCTTTCTATCTTTGCTCTCCTTCTTTCCACACTTTGCATGTTCCTTACATCTTATTTACACTACTGACTAGTCACTTTAACTCTTAACCCATTCGCCACAGATTTATGTTCTGTCCCCTGTTGGTTTTGGTGAATTTTGCTACCTACAGATGGCTCCACATGTACTCAGCCGGCAAGGAGTCTATCAGTAGGCCCTAGTTACCGACCCTGATTTTCCCATTCATTGAATTGGCGGGAAAATTAATATCATTGCTTTCAATGCTGTTATTATTGTTACTGATGTTATGATGATTGAATTGTCATTAGAATATTTTTGACAGTAAGATGATACAAAAAACCCTTTCCGAAAGTGAAGGAAAAGGCTAAACAGGTGAAATAGGTAGTTCTTGATAACTGGCTATTTGGTAATTAAGAACTTGTAGAGCCATCTATGTGTAAATACAATAAATAAACGTGTATCAAAGTGGGTATGGCATCTATTCTTGCCATCCGCGGCGAATGGGTTAATATGATGTGAAGGTTTCAGATTTCTACACATAATTCACCGAGTACTTTCCAAAAATGGGCATAAAACACATTCACAACAAAAGCAGTAAAATTTATATTTCACATTATATAGCTTACATGAAAACTGGCTTGTATTTGTTAGCTAATTTATTCATATTTACTCTCCATTACTTAAACCATCATAAGATGGGAAGCTCTCTAATTCACTCCTGGACTGATCAGAAGACTGGTGTGAAGTACTGTATATACTGTTAGACTTCTCACTTAAGTGGGTTGACTGGTCAGTAGAGCTATCAGAGGCAGAGAAGGAAGATTGAAGAGAGAAACCAACCTGAGCCTCTTGACAAACCTGTGTGCTACTCAAAGTCTGATTTCTTTTTGCATTTGTTAATGAGGCCCTGCCTTTGGATATAGCTTTGTTTATCTCTTGGACTCTTGGCTCACTGTTAATAATTATAGCTTTTCTTGGTACACTAACTTCTGCAACAGCTGTAGAATCAAGCTGGGCCTTACTCTGCATGATCTCCATGACTTCCTTGGCTGCCTCTGCTCCTTCAACAGTAACATCTTGAGGCTTCATAAAACCACGCTTGATTAGGGATTCCCAGAACTCTTCTTTTTGCTGCCTTATTTGATCTGCAATGCTTTTCAGCTTTTGCTCTTCATTCACATTTAGGTTCCCTATACTTATACTTCCCTCATTCACATCTGAATAGGAAGATTTACTAATATTAATCATAACACTCCTACTACCCTGCTCTGAGAAGGGATTCTTATCTGCAAAATTCTTTTTCAGGAGGAATCCATAATCAAAGATCTTCTCAGTGGCTACACGTGCTTCATTAGTGAGCCTATGGTTAGTCCCAACTGAGTCCATGAGTCTTCTTGCTTTCTCTATTGCCATTTGAAGATTGGTTTCAGGATTTTGGATTGCTCCTTCCATTCGCTTTGATATTTCTGAAACCGTGTCTTGCACCTTTTTCCAATCCTCTTCAATTATGCATACTCTGTTGAATTAAGTGAATCTATTAGTCATGCATACTGGGGAAATTAAAAATTTATTTTTGCTACATATAAACTAGTATGCCATGAAAATAAAATATCAAGTCCGCATTGTATACTCTGAGTTGTTTGCTACAAATTTCATATAACAATTTCTATGCATTTAGTCTTTTAAAGCATCATCATTCCACCACTACTTGTTCATTTTTAATTAAGTTCTCCTAAAACATACTTCTAAATATGTACTTGTGCTTGATTAACTGCAGTCCTCTACAACCAAGAACCTCACCTGTCTAACAAATAATGAATCTGAGGAGCTTGTTTCTGTACAGAAGGATCAGTGATGTCTAGCATAGAGGCAGGTGCAGCACAGCCATCTTCCACTTTCTGGTATTGGAAATGTTGATATGAATCAAAAGGCAGATCTGAAGCTATGGCTAGTCTATTATATTATTTGACACTGTTTCATTGACATTAAATCAGGAACATAAAATCAAATATAATTACTAAAGAATATGTAACATTTTTAACAGAAAAATGACAATAGTATACATCATGTCAATGCAAAAGAATTTTGTTTGCAGTAGCTACTCACCTTGCTTTCTTGATTAATCAAAGGTAAAAGCCGGTCCACAATAGCATCAGCAGTACGTTCAACTAGGTACTTTTCGCTAACCATCTTCCTGGTACTGTGATGTAAAGGTCTAGGGGATGATGATACTGGCATTCCCTTACTAGAATTTGGAGCAACAGTTATTTCATTTTCTGGATCTACAACTGCTTCATCTGTGAAAAAATAAGTTAATGTTCTAATACTCTGGAAATGTAAATCTCTGAATTTCTTTTTGCTTTGTTAGAAAAGTTCCTACCTGTCATTGATTGTTTATTATCAGGCACACACACACACACACACACACACACACACACACACACACACACACACACACACACACACACACACACACACACACACACACACACACACACACACAAAAGTACACGCACACATACACACACAGAACAGTTATACAAATCTCATAACTGCTAACAAGTAAAATATAAAGTTGCAACTTGTCATATTAATGCTATTTTTATTTGTTCTCATTAATATTCCTTGTACAATTATGATCATAAAGATGAATCACCTTCTGACTGAAGTTGACGTTGCAATTTCTCCAACTGCTCCCTATCTCCTTTATGTGGCAAAGTCCTTCTCTGTATATTTTTAGGCATTTTCTTTGACTCTCTCTCAACTAGCTTTCCCTGAACTTGATTTTCTATTAGCTGCTTCTCATAAAGGAAAGGTGAGCAAAACAAAAGTTAAAAACATAATATATATAATAATAATTAAAGGTGTTTAAAACTCAAATTAACCCCCTGGGAGCACTGGGAAGATTCAAGGAGATAGTGAGTGGAAAATGGATGGTAGGGAACAAACATGAGGAAAGGGGCCAGTAGGAACATTGGTGAGGAAATAAGGGGGGGATGGAATTGGTAGGGGGTGGGGGCTGGGTGTTAGGAGGGACGAAGAGGAGGAGGTAGATGTGGTGGATTACGGAAGTAAAAAAAAATTGGGAACTATTGTTGCAAATAAAACTTATGTAAGACAGTTGTAATTTAATAACATAGTCCACAAAAATCACACTATCATATTTCATATAACTGTTACTTAATTTTATTATATCATTTATGACTGAGTAGAATAAGCAATTTACTTTCCCTATAGGCTGAGGTCTTCTCCCATGCTTACTCTTTGGTCCAGAAGCAATGGTTAATTTCCTGGTATGTACATATTTCAGCTGCTTATGTGAGATAGAGATTTTATTATTTGTACTTTCCTGATTATCTTGTAAGTTTATTGTCTTTTCCTTTCCAACTTGTTCATTTCTTGGTATGCTTTCTGGTCTGTATCCATGCTACAAGAGAAGAGTATGATTTTACATTTTATTAAAAACATACTGGTAACATATACTCAATCATCTGTTCCATAAAACCTTTATAAATCTGCTCAATATTCACAAATGCAAAATCCTTAAATATAAATTGAAACAAAGTCTTGAACCTTTTCCCATCTCTTCTTATTCAGTTTCTGGTTAGCAAGGCAAGCAATCCTTTCCCTCACAAAATTTGGATGCAAGACTGACTTTGTGTGAGAATCCACTTCTGAGGAGACAATCTCAGAAGGAAACTCACAGCTGCTTTCTTCAGGCACCTCCAAAATTGAAGACTTTTTTGTCTAATACGGACAAATGGAAAACAATGAGAGTTTTAGTTCCAATGTTGTATTCTAGTTAATTTGCAAAACAAAATGTTAAATTTAGCACTAGTATTATTGAACAAACATTAATATCATACATATTTTGTGACAGATTGTAAAATCTAGGAATGTACTTGCCTGATATTTTATCTTTGGTATTCTGATTCCTGCAACAATCAGTATCTCAAACAATCTTTGTGATGCAGTTTTAAGTTCTGCATGTAGTCTTCTGCCTGATTCTGATATGAAAGCAATTGGTGCATGTGTCTTCAAAGCCTGTTAATACAGAGTTTAAGCCAAAATTTATGTACTAGATAACCTGAAATGTCCTTTCTTAACCCATTGCCACCGGGGATGGCATGTACGTACATGCCATGCCCACTGTGAGTTGACTTGTTTGATTGTTTTTATACATAGATGGCTACACTTGTACTAAGTCACCATTGAGCCAATTACGAGTAATGCCTGTCTCGCCCGTTCACTCTTTTCATCGATTTACGAAAATATTTAACGTTATCCTAATTTGCTGTTAAATATAACACCATCTATATTTATAGCACTAGTAAAAATACGTTTTTTCCCGCCAATTCAAGGAAAGGTGAAATCAGACTAGCAGAGCCATTGTGAGATATTTCACAAAAATATAAAAAATGAGTACAGCATTTTCCCCATTTCTTGTTCATTTTCCCCGGCGGCAATGGGTTAACCTAAAGACTCCAGGAAAAAGTTGTGTTCACTGTAGTAGTGTTTTGTGAATTGTCTCTGCATATAGATGGTTTTGCAAATGCTTAGTCACAAAGAAGTCATTTAGTAGACCTTATGACCTTACCTGATTTCATGTTCCATTGAGTTTATGGGAAAGACACTTTTTTTTACTTATGTTATCAATATCAATGCTGTTAATTATTATAGCATTATTGACAATAATAACAGCTATTTTAGATACCAGAAAATATTTTTAAAAATCAAGGAAAAGGGTAAATAGGTGAGACAGGTAATACTTATCATTTGATCACTTGTAACTTTGTACTTGTGAAGTCATCTTGTAAGCCATCTTACAGTGGAGATGGCATAACATACTTTCCAGCCCTGATGGCCTCAGGTTAATATTTTACTGCCTATATACAAAACATTTCTTTTGAAGGATTGATTTGATTTGATGTTTTATTTAAGACATATGAAGATTACAGCTTCCAATATATACACTGTAAACTTACCAGCAAAAGCTTGTGAAGAGTACGAGTAGATGTAGCCATAATTCTCAAATTCTTGCTATTGTTCCTGTCTCCATGAATATCAGATCTTTCTAACTGGAAAATCTATGAATGAGAGAAAACACGCCTACATTTAGGTTGCTG